GGCAAGTGTTCCAACATCTCCTTAGGTGTTCCCAGCTCTTATGCAATCGAAATACTTCAGGTCGTTTCACCTACCGTAACGCTAACGTCTTTGAGACTTTACGAAATTCCGGGCAGATTGCGGTTCGCTATGTGGACGGAGACGGCCACCCAAGTATGATGTACCCATGGAATCCGAATGGCTCCGAGGACGCGGTGGCAGCTATCTGTAGCCAGGATGGGCGTCATTTGGCCATGATGCCTCACTCAGACAGGTTTGCTCGACACACTCTTACATTTTGAGGAGTTGTTTCAATTCCTTATCCGTGAGATACTCCGTCGTTACAGGTCATTCCTCTCCTGGCAATGGGCAGAATATCCAACTGAATGGGAAACCTCAGAAAATCACACTGCACCGTGGATAAAAATGTTCCAGAATGCGTATTCTTGGGTTACGGAGGATAAAAGCTGTTATTCTTGTGGTTTCCTGTGATCGATCGATTCATATTGGATCAATGTTTCTGTCAGAAAAAAGGCTTCCAAGAGTGGAATGTGTTTCAATGCTAGAATTTTTCAATAAAATCGTTCTTTGTATTCTATGTCGATAGGTATCATCTTTAGGATCAACCCAACAATTCACAAGTTTTGCTATTTGTGCATTTCCTCTAGCTCAGTTACGCTACTTCTCGAACTTTCTTCCATGTTCCAACTTCTTCTGTCGTCGAAAATTTTACGACCCCCTCGCCCTCTGGAGGGCCTCGATACGACCCCCCCCCAGGGCCAACTCCTCACGACCATCCTCCACCACCCTCGCCTGCCGGGGGCGATTCTATAGTATTTGATTCTGAGATCAGTCGACACAGCCCAACTCCGCCCACTTTTCCTTCCAAAATTAAAATTACCGTCGAGCGGGGGGGTATATATGGAACGTGAAACGGCAAAATTTTCACACTCACACTCAACCCAAAAGCCCAGCCTACAAGAATCCACTATCCGTTCCATAAAAAAACATCCCTTCCCTTACTGTAACATTGACGCTACCTCGCGAAATACGACCCCCCCTCCCTCGTTGGACTTTGTCCAACGGACGGTTGACCCTGGTCGGGGGGGGGGAGGGGCGGTTCGATCCACTCGTCATGCGGCAAATGTTGGAGCGTGAGTGCCACTGTAATACAGTACGTTATAAAAGAATGTGAACACCTCAAATTTTCTACTTCACAGCCTAAGAGACGGTCGTGAATACGAAAAGATCTCGACCACCACTCAACATCACTTCAACAAATCCAATCAACTCCAAGAATTAAAGCCCATACCTCCCCAACAACTCTATGTCATCCAAAATGCTCGTTGTGAGGTCGCTGACCAAAACAAATAAAACTTTACTCTTGACATGCAACCGCATTCCGTTAATAGGGGGGTGCGACTCCAAGTTAATCTGGACCCGAACGACTTTTCGTGTGCTTCGTGCTTTTTGAACTACTCGTTCATTATTTCGAAATATGCGCCCACCCTTCTTGTGTTAGCAAGACACGAGAGATCATCCGGGACCGTAAAAGCCAAAGGACGTCACAGAAATTTTTACTTTAGTCATATGGCAGCGGCCAAACGTAAGGCCATAAGCCAAGCTAAGGAACCTTAGCAAAAAGAGATTGATGCGGACGTCGACGGTTCCCCGCCCACCCCGTTCCCCCGACATTGCTCCCTTGACTGCTACTTATTCCCCCACCCCAAGCATTCCACCGAAGGAAAATTTCACCAATGTTGAAGACGTTGAAAGGACAGTGTCGATTTCTTCGACACACAATCTGCCCAGTTCTAGGAGATCACTAACCTGCTCATTAGATGGGACGGCATAGCGAGTAAAAATGGGAATAATATTGCTTACTGAATTCCATTTAAAGCTGAACAAAAAAATAAAGCAAAAACACGTCAAGCACAAGCAGACCGTATCCTTCTATTATATAAAGCGCTAACTTTGTGTGTCGGTTTGTGTATCTGTATGTGTGTGTGTGTGTGTGTGTGTGTGTGTATGTATGTATGTGTGTCCGTCCGCAAAATGAAGTGAGTGAGAAGGAAGCTCATGGGATAAACAAACCGCTAACAAATCGGGTAGCTTACAGGATTTGAGATATCAAGTTCTTGTAGCAGAGTTGATAAACACTCTCAGGGCTATATAAACACCTGCTTAGCACACTTCCGTTCATTCCACATGGTGCTGCAGTGGCAGCTGGAGGGCAGTGGAGAGAGGAAGGGAGGATGAGGAAGGGAAGCGAAAAATCTACCGTCATATCATGATTGTGTCCCTTCTACTGTATGAAACACCATTGTGTTGCATACGCGTCACTTCCAGGTGTTGGTGTCACAGGAGGAAGGGACCATAGCGGAGGATAGAAAGCTTGCGCAGGAAAGGAAGGTCCCGGCGGTTGACGGGGGACTAATCTGGTATCTATATTTTGATCATCAAAATAAAGGTGCTCGTTGATTAGTGCCATTATTTGGTTATGGAAAGCCCATGCACATTAACCACCTCGCGATCTTGATTAAGGAGCTCAAAATGACTGACGCTTTTAGGTATTAATTAAACTTAAAGGCACGGTCCGGAGGCACGCTCCCCTTCCCTTCTAAGAATCGCCCATTCGATCCCCATCGTAGCGGACGAGCACTGATGTCAAAAGGCTCGTCCACAAGCCCGGCTTTCGTTGTCTGCTACCACATGGTGCTGGAGCAAAGTGTGTGCGCAGTTGCGGCAGCGGTTGCATTGCGGCTAAATGTCGTTTGCACTGAAGCAGCTGGAGCTAGGCTCGTGAGAATCGCCCGAAACTCCCCCATCCCAAGTGAAATGCAGTTGAGAAAAGGTCCTCATTTAGAGCGTGATCTCAAGTTTTTTTTTAAATTTTTTTTTGCTTTTCCAGACCCTTCCACTTCAGCAGATCACTGAAGCGTTTACGGACTGATTGATTTCCCAGTGTCAGCTTTTCTGAGCAGCTTATCTGAGTTGAACGTGGCATGCTTCATGTGAATAGTTTATTACAATGCAGCGCAGATATGATTTAAACACAAGGAGCACAATTCAAGGTTGAATGTTCTTATGATTAGTCATATACACGTCCACAAGGGTCACAGGCTCCAGGTCTGAATTCCTAACAGATAGTGGGCTACTTGCTCAGATTCCAATACCTGCTCTCCTCTTCTGCTTTTTTCTCTTCTGCTTTTCTCGTGTGGTATGCGCGATTATTCAGACATTGGACCTCTGTCATTCCACATTTGCTTGCGGAAAGCCTCAGGTACTTTATAGTGTTTGAAGAAGCACTGGAAAATCAAATTTTATTAGCAATGTGAAGTCTGAAATCGTCAGAAGTTTGAGTATTGTCCGTGTAGTGGAAAAACTGTCGCAAATTTCACCTCACCTCTTTGATGAAATCAATCTTTGCTTGGTCACGACGTTGATTAATAGGCTGATTCCTCGCCTCAGTGCTATCTTTGTAGACCAGGGTTTCTAGATCAAGCACGAACCGGTTCATATTCTGCGCATTTATTGTAGCCAGCGTAGCTACCTCGCTTTCGCTGACATAGGCATAAACGGTACCGTCTGAAAAGTGATATCCCTAAGGAGAAATAAGACAAAACTGGAAGCTGGAGCCTCCACCGAGGATCAGACACTTCATTGCGCATCAACAACCCCACCTTGATCTTGGTCTGGAGCGTTTTTTCTTGGATTCGCAGGTTCTTCTTTGTGGTACTGTTTTCTTTCGTACTGCTTGGGCTTTGCAACTGGCTCCACTTGTGGACCCTGTGTTGTCATCCTTAATCGGAACAAAGATCACAAAATAATTAGGAAACCCATAAACAAAAAGCACTTATGAAAACTTCACCACCTCTGGATTGTGGCTGCCATTTGAGCCATGTCCTCCTCCATTCTATCCAGCTTCTCCGTTAACTGCTCCATCTCCGGTAAAGAACCATGATTATCTAGATAAGTATAAATAAATAAGTTATGAAATAACAGTTTATTACACTTTAACATATCAACCACAGCGTAGCGCGATAAGCGTCCTACTTTGCACTCCTCTGAAGTTGCGACGCGGTAACGCGTCCCATTCAGGTCATCCCTTTCTTTTCTCGCGCTTTCGCGACTTATTCCCAAGTTTTGCTCCGCCCACTATCGCGCGCATCACACCAGACTTTAGCAAAAGCTAAAGCCCCTGAATCAGACATTATCCCATAACACCCGTCACTATGAATCGTTAACTCCCAATTCGCTGAAGTCCATCGAAAATACGCGTGATAACGTCTGGAGCTGAACTGGCATATTTATCTCACAACTGTAAACATCCAGCATTTTTCTTGAATTCAGATAATTTAGCGGTGAATAGGATTGCTGTCAGTCTCAAAATTAAAATGAATATATGCCTATTTACATAAGTGAGGAGCTAATGCTTATCATTCATTTACTCTATTGAACCCGCCGAGATCACGTTGATGATTGGGCTCTAATCAAACTATGCAGCGCTAAGACTCATTGGTTAGCAACCGACTCATAAGTAACTGTCAATCAATACTATGTGCACGTACACTACAAATACATTTTTAATTGGACCTCCAGCCGTCCAACGCCGACTACGTAATAGGGACTGACAAACATTGCCGTTCGCGCCGCCTTATCACGCCTTGGAGTTGACAATCACCCTCACAAACATTCACAGAACCAGCACAATGTCCCCCGTCCACCCCACAACCTTACTCAGTGCAGTATGGACGCTCTAGTACCACTATGAACGACAAAACGAAATTGGCGCGCTCGCTTTTAAGCCCCTCTTATAGGCTATTACCAGTCGTTATCAGTTCCTATCACATACCACCTGTGTCCCCAGGCAATCCCCTATAACATGCAGTGGCGCTCAAAAGTATTCGGCCAAATGCATTTTCGGCCGTAACTTTTCTTCTGCTGAATCAAATCAGTTCGAAATTTGATATTTTTAAGAGGCAAACATTCTTCAATAGGCAAGCGTATACAGTCGATATCTCGAAGTCTGATTGGGCGTGTCACCGGAAATGACGTGGCAGCCACCGCACTTGATAGATGTTGTGTGGATAAAATACTCCGCCAGATATCAGCAAAGCGTGTTGGAAGCAGCTTATCCGCGCAACTTCTATCAAGTGCGGTGGCTGCCACGTCATTTCCGGTGACACGCCCAATCAGACTTCGAGATATCGACTGTAAGTGTTGGATGGGAGCGAGAGTTAGGAATGGAAAAGTGCTTCTACTGAAAAATTCTCGAGTATGCCCAAGTAGGTTTCAAATTATTGTAGAAAGCTTATAATTCAACAAAACAATCGACGGAATGGTAAAAAAACAACAAGCATATTCAGTACTCTGTTAATAGCCTTTTGGAGTTGCTGAAACCTCAACAGGGCCTAAGTGTGGAACCAGTCAATGAATGCACTATCTATTGGGACAACCTCCTCAACTTTCCTTCAAATTGACGAGTTTCT